GCCTGATCTTCCGCTGAGCCGTGCCCTAATGCCTCCGGATATGGCCCAAGCTCCGTCAGAAACCTCTCAGGGTCCATCAGGAGCCTGGGACGGAACCATCTAAGTGGTTCCGTCTCCCTGCGGCGTGGGGAAGCGGTCCGGAAGTCCATCCTCAGGAGTGCATGATCTGACCATGACAAGGGCTCTATGACTATCTCCCTGACTACAGTCTTAGAATGAGAAAGGGTATAAAGGGTTGGGCCTGGACCTGATGGATTTGCCATTGGCCTCTAGCTATCCTTTTGGAATCTGCTATACCGTATGGTCCTCATTGCAATGGGTTGTTAATGTAAGTGATGTTGTGTTATTATGCTATGTTCCAAATTTAGAAAAACAAACCTCTGAATCTTAAAGTAAGAATTATTGCTTTGTGTTGCTGTCTTGTCTTTTCCATTGGGTTTTTCCACGACATTTGCAATATACCAAGTGTCCACCTCACTAGGAAGACAAGACCTGGAAATCAACTCCATAGCAAACCTAAAATTACTTATATTGAGATTGACTATAATAACAGAATCTTGCAAGTCGGATTGTGTTGCATCTCTTCCCTCTTCTTCTACTCCAGTGCATCAGGGAGGGGTTTGCCTGAGCCATTTCCAAATGTCAGCTCATTCTTCTGGACTTAAAAACACTTCATCCCCTTTTGCCTAGGACACAGTTCCCATGATGTATCTCTTCAGGGTCATCTTTGTTACCCACAACTACATCAAATGAGCTTTTATTGCTAAAGGTGGACCTGAATTAGTGTCTCCCTGCTCTTGGCCCAGCCATATCACCCAACAAGCTATGAATCCACCCTGTGTGCCTTCCCCTCAGTGTATTCTGTCTTCCTTCATCAGGAATAGCAAACCTCGGAATCGTCCATCCTTCCGGCAGATCCTACTGCACCTTGACATTGCCTCTGCTGATGTGCTGTCCACACCGCAAGAAACCTACTTCAAATCCCAGGTGGGCTTCCTTGGCAAAATTAGTGCTAAATTGCGTTAAAAATGTATAGGCCTCTTTTCACGTTATAAAGTCGTTTACAATGCAGTTACGAACAATAATATAAAAAACAAACTAGATGAAACTAATCTCTGAAATTGTATAACAACTTTTCACAAACAAATGCATCTTTTGCTGAGGGTTGAATAGCTCCACCTTTCCTTATTCACATTATGGAACAGATACCATGCATTGGGTGTCATCATCTACAAGAGCAGCATCATTGTAAACAGTTTTCTGTTCTCTAGACTTGGAGCCAGAAGGATTCAGGAAATGAGTTTATGGAGCTCTCTTTTCCTTCCCCAGGCCGAATGGCGAGAAGAAGTGAAGCTCCATTTTGAAAAGATCAAATCAGAGGGGACATGTCTACACCGTTTGGAAGAGGAGTTGATTCACCGACGACGAGAAGAGCTCAGGTAAGACTAGTATGAAACCATTAAAATAGAGAGAGAAGATTCTATACCTATATATGTATTTATAAACAAAAGGTGAAGTCTCATCTGACTGAGTTGCACTTCTGGAGGCTCTATGGACATGTCTCTGTTCTTTTCCTAGTGGGACTAAAAATGAGATTTGTCACTCTTCAGCCTCCCACTCTAGACTTGACACTTTCATGCAGAGCCAGGAATGGCTGACTGCTGCCACCTGTCATGATAATTTTATACATAATGACGTATATTCCTTGCATCTGCTGGCATGCTGAAAATACCAATATTTTTTGGGGGGGAGAGGGGGTTCCCCATCAGCAAAGCAATTTTGTATTCCTCAAAATTGAAGCAAAATTCTTGACAATTCCTCCCCTGTCTTTTATTTCACTACCGTTCCTTTTTTTAAAACTAATGACCGTTATCTGTAAATTGAATTGGGCTTAATCTTATGGGTAAATTAATTGAATTTGCATTTCAATTGAAACTTTTTTTCCCCCATTTCCCAAATCTATATGCGAACCGGAATGCAACTGTGGACATATTTACATGTTATGGAATGTATTCCAGAGCTTTAAGAAGAATAAATCCTAAGAAAAAATGTAGATAATGCAGAAAATGCATATGAAAATACATATAGTGAAAAATGTATAAGACTGCATTTGTCAAACTTGCTTGCAAAAATGTGTCTTTTAAGAAGCACCTTTTTTTTTAAAAAAAGTACATTTCTTGTGTTGTCGTTTTAAGGAAAGAACAATGAAGAAATAGAACAGAATAAAGTTAGAGTTGGAAAACCGAGACATAAAACAGATCTGACTTCATAAATGTATCTACTCCTGCTAAACGCATCTTCCTCTTTTTAAATGACTCTTAAACCTGCAGTGATGTTCCATCAAATACCAAAGATGCTAGGACCTGTAATTTTCTGAGCTCACCTGAGTCCTTGCTATTAAGCATCTCAAAAACTGCCTTTGGTTTCTGATACCTGGACTGATGCCCTGCAAGGGACTGTCAAATGAACAGCAGCCTCTGAAAGCACTGTCAGAGCCCTGTGATACAAGCTCCGCCCATTCTAAAAGGGGCGGAGCTTGCAGCCTGTTTTTATTCTCCAGACCGTAGCAGCCAGAACCTGAGCGTGCTACTGAATCTAATGTAGTGATTGAGGTGGATCAAAGCTGGGGGAACCTCTCAGCTCCTTGGTGACTTTGGACCAGTCAGTCGCTCTCAGCCCATTCGACCTCACAGAGTTGTGTGAGGCTAAGATGATCCCCATATAAAAGTTGTGAGAGGATAAGCTTGAGCTCAAACAGATAGATAAATAACAAAATCACGAACTGTTTATATGTTTGAAAGATTTCTTTGCTCCCCTCTCCTGCTTGCAGGCATGCCCTGGATATCCGGGAGCACTACGAACGTAAACTGGAACGGGCCAACAACCTTTATATGGAGCTCAATTCCCTTATGTTGCAGTTGGAGCTGAAGGAGAAAGAGCTGCTTCGGTAAGATTA